ATAAGAGGTATCTTCCTTCTACTAGGTGGAGTCCTCCTCCGATAGGGTTCTTAAAAGTTAATGTTGATGGTGCAATGGTCAAAGGTTGGGATAAGGGTGGAATAGGTGGCTTGACTAGAGATGGCAGAGGGATGGTGCTTGGGTCTTTTTTAGAGAAGGTAGGGGGAGGTCCTCCCTTACTCGCAGAGCTTTTGGCGATCAAGAGAGGGTTGATTCTTATTGAGGAAGTTGAAGCTGATCTCTTTTCAAATCAGAGGATCATTTTGGAATTCGGATTCTTCTAATGCTCTAAAAATGGATTAATAATCCGAACCTTAGTACTACTTTGTTTCATTCCTTGGTAAGGGATATAGCTTCTACTGTGGAGAGGAAGGGTATCATCACAAGGCTCATCTCGAGAGCAGCAAATTGGGAAGCGGATGAATTAGCTAAAGCTGGTATAGGCTGAACTTACGTTTTGTGTAATGGTTAAGGTGTTATGCCTTGGTAGTTCCTATTTAGGAGTTTCAGGGTGTGTTTTGTTTTCAGATATATGGTTTTCTGTTTTGTAAGAAGTTGTTAGCTATTGAGGTGTGGAGGTGTATTATTGTTCTAATTAATAAAAGTTAGAGGCACTCTTTTCCTCCTTCCAATGTCCTTCATGTTATGTTTGTAACATGTAGGATAATGGGGTTTTTAATGAGGCCTTATTTTATCAAAAAAAATTGTCAAATCATCTCACTTTAGCTTCAGCCAATGTCCTCTATCTATTAAATAAAAACATTTTCTTAGGGAGGAATTTCTAAGCAATGTAATACAAACAAGGAAATAATGGAGCCAACATACCCTTCCCAGCTTTTCTGGGTCAATTCCTGGAACCTTGGCACAATCCTTCCACCTATAAAGATAAATTTAAAAACTTACCTATCATGAATTTGGTTACCATGCCTTAAATGAAAATAAGATAAACAGAAACAAACCTGTAGCTATTGCTATGAGCTCCAACTCCACACCACCAACCCATCTGACAGCAGGCAAGTTCCTGTGCATTAATAAATGATTTGCCTCATCATCAAATCCCCATTGACAGATAACCAAGGTTGCACCAACATCCTGCAACAAAATTACTATCAGAAAAGTTTCAACCCCAAAACTGCAAAGATGACTAACAATTATCCACCTGCTTTCCTGTCTCCCACAAAGAGAATTATCTAAAGAAACAGAATGTGAAAGCTCAACCTAAATTGAAAAAGAGACTCCACATAAACACAAATACATACCTTGCACTTCTGAACCATGTCATCGAAATACTTTTGCTCTTGCAGACGCAAAGTTTGAAACTTTTCCACTGTATCAATGTCTACCTTATGCTTGGTCTTTGGCTTAGGTGGCTCAAATGGGCAAGTTAATATGGCAATTTTTGCATCTTCAATTTGCTTTGGCATCTGTGGATGACTCATGTCTTTATCAACAGTAATTCCATATATTAGCTCAGTATCCTCTAATTTTCCCCCAACTTTCCCCTCGACCTTGATCATATCTAAATTGACATCTTTCCTCTCTAGATCAGCAACAGAGAGAACTGCTTTAACAGAAATCTCAGCCAAATGGCACTTGCATCGATTCACACTGCAAAACAACAAAATAGTTACAAATCAGACTCAATTCTAACAAGTTTATGAACTGCTAGCTGACAGCAGGAGTTATTTCAATTGAAGCACTGAATAATTCTGATGGTACAATGGCCCTGCATTAACACCCTAGCCAAAGCCAAAACAACCCTGGCCATTTCTGATTTGCAAACACAATATATCAAAAGAGATTTTATTTGAGGACCAGTAAGCCCTAAAAATCGACCGATCAAAAGGTTAACTAACATCCTACCAAGGCAAGGCATTGGACAACCATTTAAACACTATTCTTTCCATAAAAAATGGCATTACCATAAGTCATCTGTTTAACTGCTTCCATGACATAATTTGCTAAACTAACCATTAATGGAACCTTGTACTGATCAACATATCGCCTTAAGGAAAATCTTTATTCAATTGCGAGCTGCAATAATCAGAAACATATAAAATGACGCAACCATGATTATGTAATCTGATGTGGCAAATCCTAGCAGTGATGGAGATAGGATAATGCAGGATAGACATCATATACATATTAATTAACCTTCAGGCAGAAAAGCACCATCTTGAAACACCATGATTATGACCACATAAGAAGTTAGCATACTGCCTGTTTAGTTACAGTTTGAATGTTTTTCTAATAATGCATTATAGGGACCTGAACATTGCTAAGGGCAACAGAAAACGTAAACTACAGCAAAAGACCAAGAAAAAGAGCTAGAAACTTACATTTTAGAGGACAAAGTGGTCATACAAGTTTGAACCAAAGGCTCTATATTTGTTGTTCCAAAATCAAACTTCTGAGATATGTGAAGCCATTTCATACCCCTCTGCAATCCGTATGGGGTGAATCCCACGTTCTAGTAACCGCTCTGCCTGCTCAAGAAGTGCTCCAGCCATGACAACAACACCAGTCGTTCCATCACCAATTTCATAATCCTGACTCCGAGACAGGTCAACCATCAGCTTAGCAATTTGGTTGTCAACATCCATCTGTTCCAATATTGTCGCCCCATCATTTGCTGGAATAAAAATTCATGAAATAAAGAAGAAAAACATATCAGGGGACTTCAACAAAAAAATATAACATCCAGATATATAAACTTCACGAAGCTTTCTACAGAAACAGTTAGCTCATAACTTTATGTTAGCAAAGTCTTACTTATACCAAAGCTTCCAGTTCAGAACTGGTAAATTTAATGAAGTAACTACGAACTACTAAAATTATATATATAAAAAAGCCTATATTCCTCTTCTCAAATAGCTTACTTTAACTAATTTATCATATCGAAGCTCGAACACATACGGATCCATAACCGAAAATCATTTTCAAATCCGAATCAAATAACCAGATGCTTAACGATCAAGCAAACATTTAGGCTAAAAACAAAAAGGAAAGAGTTGGAAAGAAGTTAACTGATGGTGACATCGCCGTCGGGGCTTTGGAGAATCTTATCCATTCCCTTGGGTCCCAGAGAGGTTCGGAGGATCCGAGCGACGGCTTTACCGGCGGAAATGTTGGCTTTTTGAGCTTCGATCCCTCTCAGCCTGGTTTTCTTGTCTTGCTCTTTGAGTATAATGAAGGGCATCCCGTATTCATCGAAAGCCAACGCCATTCCTCAAAAGATTTCTTTACTGCTTGTGGTTCTTCTTCTTCTTCTTCTTCTTCAGTGTTTCAGTTACTTTTAAAGGATTCGGAGAAAAATGTTGGCTCGCTTTTCGTTTCGCGCTGTGTTTTGAATGCCCTAAAAACCCAGTGGCTTTGTCTCGTAGTTTCATTCCTCTCTTCTCTTTGGGCTTTGTTCGGCTGTTTGAATTTGGTTGGGCTTAGGCCCGTTTGTTGGGAAACCTTACTCTCTCCTTTTTCGGCAAATCCCTCACTTAAAAAAATACTTCTACATATTTTTAATAATTCAAAAAGACTAAGGGTTGTTTGTTTATTTCAGAATGATTAAGTGCTAAATGATTCAAAGGCTCTGAATGAATTAGCTCTGAATGTAACATGCTGTTTGATAATGGCTATAAATCATTCAGAATGTACTTCTGTGCTGAATCATTCAGCACTGTTTTGCTGAATCAATCAGCACTGAATCAGTCAGCACTGAATCAGTCAGAGGTACGAAACAAACGCGTTGAATGCTGAACGGTTCAGCGTTCAGCGCTGAATGTTGAACGATTTAGTGTTCAGCACTGAATGGTTCAATTGAGAGGCAAACAAACAACCCCTAACATTCAGTTAATTCAGTGAGAAAAGACACTAATTTCTTAAATAATGTTAAGAATTCGAATTCTGATGATTATGAATAAAGTAAATTAGGTTGAAAAGGTTATTCTCCCCTCTACAATACTTGATCCATATTAAATGATCAATTAAAGAGTTGATACATTAAATCATTAACAACATATATAATAGTTTTTTTTTCACTTTTTTCTGTAGAAAACGACCAACTCCTTCGACCCTTGCTAATGGTCAATCTTTGTAAATCATCTTGTAACATCTCGAACCTAATCAAAACAATTCAATTTAAAATTTAAATCACCGGTTAATCACTGAAATAACTTTATTCATATATATATACAAACATTAAGTACATAACTAAAATAGGATTACAAATCAAAACAATTTTTTCGTTTGTAATTAGTTCTAGAACTTAGTTTATTTTTCTCTAACTCTAGTCAGTAACAGATTTTTAAAAATATTTTATATTTACTAATTGTTTGATCTTAACTCATTTCGATTGTTGGTGGCTTTATATTTATATTTTTTAATAAATAACAATAACTGAATAAAATATACAAAAGTTCATGGACCAAATTTTTTTAATAATTAATAAAAACATATTCAATTTTTGTATAATCACGAATATACAATCTATTAACCTATATATGAATCTAAAACTATAGAAATTCATTATAAGACAATGCTGATGACTTACTTTTCTCCTATCACAAGCTCTCATCTTTTCAGTTAATCTTAGCTGATAAAATTATTTAAATTTATCGATACAATGGTATTCGATTTTTAAATAAGATAATAGACCATTCGACGAAGTTTAAATTAAAAAACATGTTTAGATGAATCAATTAACCAAGAGATAATATGAAAAATCTAGATAAGACCAGTTTTAAATATAGGATAAAATCAAAACAAATTTTATCCTAATTATGTGGATAAGGTAATTTAAAAATGCATGGTTATCCATAATGCTAGCAAAAGTTGTTGAACAATTTTTGGAATTCCAGTAACTATATAAATTCATGGAAACTCCCTTATTTGATGTGCAGTGCGGTAATTCCCTATTATTAAACAATAAATCTCGGAGAAAAATTGTATTTCTCCGTGGCCAATCTTTTCTCCTTTTAATTATATCTATAATACCAAGTCCAAAAATGGCTCGTCAAATCGTTGTTTTCGCTTTGGTCTTAATCGCCCTTGTAGGCATGGTCTCTGCTGCCGGCTCCAAGGCCTCTACTTCACCCGCCCCTGCGCCTGGCGATGCTGCTGCCTCCGGTGGCCTTGCAGGTTCACCTGGCGGTGCTAGTTCTCCTCCTTCTTCGGCTCCTAGTCCTGGCAGTGGTGTCGCGGCACTTGAGGTCTCGACTGTCGCCGGAGTTGGAGTTGCCTTTGTCGCCGGCTACTTTATGTTTTAAACGTAACATGTCTATGTATGGAGCGGCTTCTTTGGTTTTGATACCAGGAAAGCTGCCTTGATTAATTATGTTAAGATTTGCATAAATGGAATGGATTGGTGCATGTTACTTTCAATTGTATCATGCAAAAATTACTCGTTTTTTATTTATTTATAAATTATTACAATTTCATATGAATTAATTTAAAAAACGATTCTGAGAACTTCAGTTTCTCTCCCAATGTAGAAGATGATGACCATTTTACTTCTAAATAAGTAACATATAAACCAAATTGATACTCATACAACGTATTTATAATGAAAATTAAATATATAATTATACTAATTTTATTAATTGTTGTATCAATTCATCCATCAAATGTCTAGAATCAAGTAATCGTAGATATATTTTACCCTAAAATTTAAAAGGTTAGTGGTTGTCATTTACCCTATGCGATAAAAGTAACTTGGCATATAGGTTATGTTAGATATATGACATTTATTTTAAAAGTTGAACTTAAAATTGGATGCTTAATTAGTTTATTTAAATATTTTAATATGATATGGTTATTAACGTAGGTTTTTTCTTATTATTTTATTGTTTTTTTTCTTTCCCTTTGATTATGTTTAGTTTACAATGATACTAATTTTAATGTTGATTGTTGATCATCACTGATTATTATTTTTCTTAATTTTTATAATATGTTTTATGTTTTTTTGGAGGTTTTTTTTTTCAATTTTGAATAAGAATTTTGGTCATTGTAACATATTTTTCTATGCTTTTATGACATTTTTATGGCTTTTAGTACGTTTTTCGTAGACCTTTGCGGTCATCATTGTATTTTGAATAATATTTAAATATGATAGTTTGGCTCACTCACGACATTCTCAAGGGAAGATTTTGTTTTTCCCAATATACTTGGGTATAATATTTTGTTTTATGTATGAGTTTTTTTTACTATTGTCCCTATTTTTATCTCTATGCTTGGGTGCGTTGTAATTTTGATTTCTTCAAATTTTTTTATTATGAAATCCAATTATAAGATATATTTTCAAATATGAATAAAGATACTTACCTTTACAGATAAAACTACTCAAATATGAATAAAGATACCTACATTTTCAAATTAAGCTACTCAAATATGAATAAAGAATTATGTTTGATTTCAGATAAAACGATATCTAACCTATTATATACTTGTATAATATAATTATATTTAAACTAAAATATTTAAAAATGAAAAAACACCACAAAAGTAAATATTAGATTAAAACCAAACCATTTAAAAGTAATTAAATTATATTTGATTGGATTCGTGAAAAACCAATCTAAAGAGAAGAAATATGAGTGAAATGTGAACGTTTTTTATATCGATATTGTCGTGAAAGTTCAATGCTTAAAACAACATCATTTCAGGATCAATGGTCACACCAAAACGATATTGTTTTGTCTACGTCATTGAACTGTTAAAATTTAATAGCTCATGGTATAATTGAAGTTAGAACTATAACTTAGTGTATAATTAAAGAAATTTAAAGTTTATATGTCTCAATTTCGCCCTATCAGTTTATGTAATGTCCTTTTTAAGATATCTCTAAATTGCTCACTAATCGATTACAAAGTGTGCTTCTTGATTGCATAGACGAATCACAATGTACTTTTATCCCATGTAGATTGATTTCAGACAACATCATAGCAGCCTATGAAGTCTTGCATTCCATGAAAACGAGAAGAGTGAGCAAAAAAGGTACTTTTACTCTAAAATTAGATATGAGTAAGGCTTACGATGGAGTGGAGTAGTCTTTCATTGAAGCCATGCTTAAGAAAATGGGCTTTACGGATCTTTGGGTTTTAAGGGTCATGAATTGTGTTCGTTCAGTCTCTTATTCTATTGTGATAAATGGGCAGATTGGTGATAGTTTTTTACCGACCAAAGGACTACGCCAAGGAGATCCTTTAAACCCTTTTCTTTTTCTGATTTGTAGCGAGGGTCTTTCAACATTATTACGTTTGAATTCTCGTAATGGAATTATCCACGGTGTTCGTATTTCTTGTGGATCCCCTTATTGGAAATAGTTAAGAAAAGTGGGCAACTTTTGGTGGCTTTAAATGCACAGAAAGTTGCTTGTTGAAAATGATTTTTGGCTTAATTACATTTTAGCCATTGCACACTTTAGGGTATTTATAAGATTAGTCCCTAAGGTTCAACTATAAATACCCTAACCTATTTAGCTTCAAAATCATCCCAAAAATCATTTCTTTCTCCCATTACTAGAGAGCTTTCTTGTGAGTGTTTTGTAAACACCTGTAAATTTTATCTCTTAGTAAAAGATCTGCAGCAGTCTGGAGACGTAAGCAAAATTGGTTGAACTCCGTTATTAATTTCGGGTATTATTTTTCCGCTTTTATTTCGCATTCTCACTAATCTGATTATAGGGAAATTACTTGTTACTCGTTTATTTCCCAACAACTGGTATCAGAGCTTGGTTGTGATTTTTGCCAATTTTTTGCGATATTAATATTCATTACTATTCACATGAATTGTAAATTTCGTGAATAGTAAAAAAAAATTCGGCGATATGAATTTGTCGATGGATGTGTTATAATACACGGTGGTTCGCGAAAATTGTCAGAAACGATCCAAAGAAGCCAAATTCGAGTGGGAGCGATGGTTGTAGACGAAGAGAATGTGAAAATTGAAAAGTTCGATGGTACGGACTTTGCCTTTTGGAAGATGCAGATCGAAGATTTTATGTACAAGAAAAATCTATATCAACCCCTCTCAGGAAAGCAACCAGAGGGCATGAAGAATGAAGACTGAGCTCTTCTCGACAGACAAGCCCTCAGAGTTATCCGACTGACGTTATCCCGTAATGTTGCTTTCAACATAGCAAAGGAAAAGACCACGGCGGGTCTTATAGCGTCTCTCTCCAGTATGTATGAGAAGTCATTGGCCTAAAAAAAAGTTCATTTGATGAGGCGATTATTCAATTTGCAGATGAAGAAAGGGGTATCGATGGCACAACACCTAAATGAACTCAACACAATCACAACCCATTTGAGTTCAGTGGAAACTGAATTCGATGATGAAGTTCGAGCTTTAATTCTCTTGTCATCTCTACTAGACAGTTGGAATGCTACTATTACAGCAGTCAACAGCTCGTCGGGAAACAGTAAATTAAAATTCGACGATGTTCGGGATCTTGTATTTGAGTGAAGAAATTCGACGAAGAGAATCAAGTGAAGCATCAACCTCCTCAGCCTTGCACACGGAGTCTAGAGGGAGAACTTCATAAAGAAATTCAAATTGAGGCAGATCGAAATCCAGAACAGGAAAATCAAGAACGGGAAAGAAAGATTTTACATGTTATAACTACGGCAAGAAGGGTCACTTTAAAAGAGATTGCCGAGCACCGAAGAAAAATACCAGAGCACAGGATTCTGCCAACGTGACAGAGGAGACAGGTGATGCCATGATTCTAAGCGTCAACAATCCGATTGAATCATGGATCTTGGATTCAGGGGCATCTTTCCACTCCACCCCATGCCGAGAAATCATGGAGAACTATGTCAGTGGTGATTTTGGGAAGGTTCATCTAGCCGATGATGAAACCTTGAAGATCGTCAGAAAAAGAGACATCCGATTAAAGTTGCCAAACCAGACCACCTGGAAGCTGAAAGGAGTGAGACATATTCGTGGCCTTAAAATGAATTTGATTTCTGTTGGAAAACTTGATAGAGAAGGATATAGTACAACCTTTTCATGCTGTGAATGGAAGATTACCAAAGGAGCACTCGTTATTGCTCGTGGTAAGAAGACTGGTACTCTCTATGTAACCTCAAACTTAGAGAATATCATTGCTGCAGCAGATGCTGATGGAAAATTAAATCTATGGCACCAAAGGCTTGGCCATATGAGCGAGAAAGAGATGAATACACTTTTGTCAAAAGGGAAGCTGTCGGATCTAAAGAATGTAGATGTCAAAACTATGCGAGGATTGCATCTTTGGCAAACAAAAGAAAGTCAACTTTGCAAAGATTGGTAAGACACCCAAAGCTGAAAAGTTAGAGTTGGTTCATACTGATGTATGGGGACCATCTTCAGTTCCATCTCTTGCAAGCTCATTATATTATGTCACCTTCATCGATGATTCTACAAGGAAGGTGTGGGTTTATTTTCAGAAGAATAAATCAGAAGTCTTTGATACCTTCAGAAAATGGAAGGTCATGGTGAAAATGAGACTGGTTTGAAAGTCAAGCGGTTGAGGTCTGATAATGGAGGAGAGTACAAAAATAGAAGATTCAGAGATTTCTGCACAAACAATGTGATCAAGATGGAGACAATAATTCCCATGACATTGCAGCAGAATGGCGTAGCAGAGCACATGAACAGAACTCTGAATGAACGTGCCAGAAGCATGAGGATACATGTCGGATTGCCCAAATTTCTATGGGATGAAGCTATCAACACTACAGCTTACATGATCAACCGTGGGGCCCTCAGTTCCTTTAGATTGCAGAATACCAGAGGAAGTTTGGAGCAAGAAAGAAATAAACCTTTCACACTTAAGAGTGTTTGGTTGTATTTCTTATGTACACATAGATTCTGCTGAAAGAAGTAAACTTGATGCCAAGTCCAACAAATGCGTCTTTGTTGGTTATGGTGTGTGAGTTCGGTTACCGATTTTGGGACTACGAAAATCGAAAGATCATTAGAAGCAGAGATGTCATTTTCAATGAGAATGTGATGTACAAAGACAGATCAACTGTAGAATCAAGTAGATCTAATACCGAAGTTGAAACAAAGGTGAGTTCGAGGAGATTTCTAGAAATGATGTTCTGATCAATCCTGAAGCAGTTCAAGAAGAACTAGGCACACCAGAACTACGCTCCTCCAGAATTCCTAAACCAACCCAACGGTATTCTCCTTCTTTGCACTACTTGTTGCTGACTGACAATGGTGAACCAGAGTGCTATGATGAAGCAATGCAAGTGGAGGATTCAGTCAAGTGGGATCTTTC